CGAGACTCATTAGACCATTAGCTAAACGTGGCTCATACAGGAATCCACTTACCCCTCTCTTCCCCACGCTCCTCATCACTGCGTCGGCGTCTCGACGAACAATAGCTAATGACGGTCGCCAAGCGACGATCCTCAGCCCCTGTTTCGCGAGTTTTTAGCAATTTTTTCCTTCCTTTCCGTTAAAACACGAATTAAAAGAGGTCTCATTCATAAAAATCGGCCAAATAGAAGAGAAGTTACAGTATTCGAAATCCGAAGAAATCAACAAAACTTCTCCAAACAAAAAATAAAATGAAGGGGGAAAAAAAGAAATGTATAAATTACAATTTAATATGATTGACCTCAGAATGTGACAAGCAATTCGAAAATAAAAAGGAAAAAAAATTGAGTAAAATCACAAAAAACTAGCCTCTTGCACGGGGCTTCCTTGTATGAGTTTTGACCTGAAGACAAGTAAATCCCGTTATATTATTAAAACGAAATTGACTCCATAGTTTAATGCCTTAGTTTCTTGAATACAATTATTTTAAGCACTCGAAAATTTATACCAGCAATTTTACCCATGGGGTGATTTCCTAAGAGCTGATAACATCACGACTTTCTCATAGAGCCCTTCAAAAATGGCTTGCTTTTTGGGCAGCCGATTCGGCCATCAAACCGGAGTTTAAATGGAAGCTGATTACAACACAAAGCTCTGAGAAAAATTTTGAGATGAGTATAGGAACGGTTTGTAAATTACGAGGAGATGCGAGCATTCTGTTCAGCATATCGATACATAAGTATTTTCACACGTAGAATTTAATTTTCACGTCAGAGAGTCGACATATTTTGATTTTTTCGATTTTTCACATACGTGCACTCACTAAATTGATTGGTAAATTCAAAGAGTGGGTACATCGACCTGGTATATCAAGTTTCTGCGATTTTTTACGGCAAATCGGTAGATTTTCGGGATGTGGATTGCTTACATTCAATTCATGAATGAATAAAGCATGGACATGGTTGAGCTTCTTTGCATGAAAAGGCGTTTAAAATAACAAAATCAAGACATATTTAATACAATTGCATTTATATCGAGTCAATTTCTTTTCAATAATATAACGGGATTTATAATACCGGTGATTTGGGTATTTTAGCCCCAAAATACCTTTAAATCGACTTTAGCTTCTAGGAGTTCGACAAAATTTTTCCTTTCTTCGCTTAAATTTTTCCGTAGCACTTTTCTTCAAGAATCTGATAAGATTTTGCTTGAGGCAGATCAAAAAACTTAAATTTGTTCGAATAGCTTTCTAGATTCACAGTACACGGTCTCGTCAAGGTGCGTCGTTGACCTTGCAGTGTTGGATCGTGAATTCTCTTGTTGTGCTGCTTGCCTTTTTTGAAATCTCTGTAAATGAAAACTAAAGGGGTTGATATGTGCGAGTTAATGACGCGCCTTATCAACACATTGTGTTGGAGTTCACTGCTTGTTTTTAGGATCCGTCGGGTTTTTACACCAAAACGAACACAAGTAACAATATCTGGAATTTAGGTCAATTGACAGTGAAGCATATAACTTCCTGGACTGAATCGAATCCCTCTCTTTCTCTGTCGTGTCAGAATGTCTTCCCAGCGATCGCGCAAAAATCCCTTCAAGATGACGGGTATGCAACCCGAAGACAGCCGTGCTTGAATAGTTATCGTTTAGCCTCGTGAAGGAGTGAACGTTGATCGCCTGGTTTCTATCCAATGTCTGTAACCGTCCATTCGGCTCAAAGGCTCCCAGCGAGAAAAGAGGGGCTCAGCTGGTCCCTTACAGGAGATGGGAAAACAGAAAAAAGGGAAACATTGAATTCGAGGCGTGGAGGGAGCGGGTGCGGTGTTTTGACAGCGGCGTTTAAAAAACGCAGCTCCTCATACGTGCGTGAAATGATATTCCACGGTCTCGATACATAGGCAGTTCATTTTTTGTTCCTCTTCCCTCTTTTCTGGTGTTTCGTTTTGTTCCTCTCGGAGAAAATGCGAGGCACATTACGCTACGTGTGCAGCATGTCGCACTTCTGCGACGTCGCCGAACTGTGCTGAAACCCGTCTAATTTGACTGTATGGCCGGTGAAAAATCCGGAATATTATCATCGAACTCGTAACAACGTGCATCCGGCCTTTTCCTTTATTTGCTTATTTAAGGTTTTTGGAGGGCAAATTCGATTGGTTTCCGCATCATGTCAAGTGGCATACTATTAAATAAGTAAATTAAAAAAAAAAAAAAATTATGTAGAATAATAGATTTAAAAGTCAATCATGCTCTTCGAGTTTTTACTGTCTCGCTCCTCTTGCGGGTAGAGTAAGTATTGTCATAAAAACTTAGTTGAAATTTCATCATTTTTCGGCGTTTTAAGGTGCCTGGGGTCAACGGAACCATACCTTAAAATGGATGTCCGTCCGTCCGGTGTACCCTATTTCTGTCTGCAGCCATATCTCAAAATCCATTCGTTCAATTTTCTTTAATTATTTATTTATTTATTTATTTATTTATTTATTTTTACGGTACCATTTGATTTCAATTTAAATATCATCAAAAACAAAAGCTCAATGCCCTGATGAATCTTATATTTTGATGACAAGATGAGGGAACCCGGTTTATACTGAATTTTTTCAGGCGAAGTTTTTTTGTCACCTTGCCTTGGAAACTGACGTTGAGATTTTGATAAAATTTAAATTGGATTACATTTTGCAATAAGGTACCACTATCTCTGGCTCTTCCATTACAGCACCTCTCTGAGTAAGGAAAATAATGGCTTATATGTTGTTTCTAAAATGAGCCAAGAATAGCGGTTTCTTATAGCGAAATGTGGTCCCATTGATCCTGCACGGAGAAAAATATTTTTTACCTTAAAACGCCAAACTTTTCAGTCAGGGTGAGCAAAATTTTTAGTAACAGGTAATTAAAATTTTTTTACGTCATTCTAAGACTCATACCATACATAAAACACTTCAGTCATCTGAGACAAAGTTCGGTTTCGAAATCCAAAATCCAAAAATACGATTACCTTAATCAAAAACTATGATGCTCCATATGAGCCGAATTTTAATCATTTTAATCGAAGCCCCCCCCCCCCGGAGTTTTCTAGTGAAGTTTCGAGTAGTTTAATTCGTCTTTCCCAAAAATACAAAAAGAGTTCATTCCAAGCTTTCAAAATCGACTCAAACAATGCAATCTCTCTCAAAAATATGACTGCGATTTTGGGAGAAAGGCGGGAAACCCTGTCGTATATACTCAAACTTGTCCTTCCCTTTCTATCGATTAACTAACAGACCGAGACTTTAAGAAAATGTCTTATTTGGAGATCGATACGTAACGCTTAATTTCCCTCCACCTTTTTGAAAAAACGTCACGTTAGACGGTTAGAGTTTAGCCCCCTATTCTCGTCTTGTTACAAAATGCGCGATCGTCCACCAGGGGTCTGTTCAAAGGTTATATGCAAGCAATTTTGGCCGACTTTTTACACCCTAACCCCTGCTGGGTTCTTAAGTCACCCGTAAAATAAATTCTCCCCTCCCCAATTCTGCATCACGTCGGATTGGCCTGATCCCTCTTTAATCTAGGTTTTCTCTCCGCAGTTTTCATGATGTTAGTCAGTAACGAGCGTGAACTATTGGAGATTTTGGGGCTTCGACGATAGAATCCGTCGTTTGTCTTACGAAATAACTTAACTATATTACAATGTTGGCAAATTTCCTTTTGCATATTGCATTTTCACCATGAAAACCTCAAGCATTTCCTCTGGAGTACCTTCTTATGGAGATTACGGACATTAGATAACTATGAATTCAGGTCATGGAGCTCTTAGAGCCCAAACAGAATACCAACTTATAAATTCAAATTATCCAGTGTGATTCATTATTATAATTGTTACGACCCAACGCTAGTGAAGCATGTATTTGACTTACTTTTTGCACAAATTTACTTATTTTTCAGAAGATCATTTATGAACATTCCTGGCCATCTTGGTTTGACATTGGAATCTGAAGATTGGGAGCAGTGACATTTTTTTTTGTTAAAAGGTTAATTGCCCTTTTAAGCACCACATTTGGGTAAATTCATTATCTCTCTATATAGGTAATTCAATTTCTTCCCGTAAATGTTCATGATTTTCCCTCAGACTCATGCAAAAATCAGTAAAATTTTGGACAAAATTTCCTCCCGGTACATTTTTGTAAGACATTGAATTGTTTCAATTAATTTCGCAACCTTCAATAATCATTCATTCAATAATGTGTTCAGTAATTCGTCGTTGTCTTCACCAAAAAACGTAACTCTAGTACAATGCTGCCAAATTTCCCCTCGCAAATTTCATATTAACCACGAAAATCTTGGGACTTTGTAACTAAAAACACAGATTTTTCTTCAGATCGCAGGCAAAAATCAATAAAATATTGGAAAAAATTTGCTACTGGTACATTTTTGTTAAGAATTTAATTGTCTTAGCTAATTTTGCAACATTCAATAATACGTCGTTTCCCTAAAAAAAAAGAACGTACCTCTATCGCAATGTGGCCAAATTTCTCCTCGCTAATTACATTTTAACCAAGAGAATCTTAGGAATTTCAAAGTGAAAATTTCACAGAGTATTTTTGACAAAATTTGATACCGGTACTTTTTTTGTAAAACATTGGATTATTTGGACTATTTCTATCAAACAGGACTATGTGCATTATGACGTGAGCCCTATTATGCACATATTCTTATGGGCCTCAGGGCTCATGTCTTAATGCACACAGTTCCGTTTGATAGGAATATGTCCATTTTAACCAGTTTCGCAACCTTCGAATGGATTTACATTCCTTCGTATGGTACACGACGAATCGGAGCATGGAGGATTCAAAAACCGCGGGAAAAGCGGGTCGGGAGAACCATCGGGTACGTACGAGACGGGCCGGCTTGTTCCACCGCCCCCTGAGCCCCACCCCCAGCGCGAAGGGCGGTTTCCGACTCGGCGGCGGCGACGGCCGGGCACTGCTAGTCCAAGCTCGGGAAAGGAGAGACGTGCGCGCCCCACTCGTCCGCAGCTTACGCGATCCCTCGCGACGACCCCCCGCCACCCCCCTCCCCCGACTTCATTTTCCCGGCGAAAATTCAACGGATTTTAGAGATGCCCACATACGGTGCCAATTTTCGCTACTCGTTCATGTTACGTGGTATATAGCGTTGTTGGTTGAGATTCATGTTTCGGTGGTTTCTTGTTGTGTTTTTTCAAATGAAATTGGTTTAGATTCTGATTCCAGTGTTTTTGGAATGTCACATTTGTTTCGACTGTAAGGTTTGTGAAGTGTTCGATTTTTTTTTTAAAAAAGGAATTCGATTTTTTATTTCTTTTCGTGGAAAAGTGCTCGCATAACATAATTTGTCCGGTTGGATAAACTAAAGTGAAGTTGTATAAACCAGAAGGATACCTAACTTAACGATTAAAAAGGTACGTTTTTTCGTGTATGAGTTACAATTCAGTTTGCCATTAGGAACTATAATTTTCAGCCCATTGGTAAAAACTCTTATGTGTCTAGGGAAACGAATGGCACATACGTTGTTTCTAAACTGAACCAGGAATTGTAGTTCCCAATTGCAAAATGTAGTCTAATTGGTGTGTCGCATGAGATGGTTTCAAAATGTCTTAGAAAAAACCCGGATTCGTTAGAAAAAAAACTTTGCTAACCAGAAAAACCTCCGAGAAAAAAATCGGAATAGAGCATGGATGAAATAACGTTTCCTAGGCTGTTTTGCTGCAACTATTTTTCATCCGATATTTATTTTCTTTATTCTTCATAACATCAATCATCTATCATCACACCGGCTGATTTTGAAGAATTCAGTGTTTAAAAGGACTCACTTCATCTCGGATTTGAAGTTGTATTTAAAAGGGCATTTCACCACGAAATTGATTTGAAAAATTTCCCTCTACCTCAGTGCGAGTTCCCTTATCTTCGTTCTAATGTTTCTTTTTTAGTAGCGGTGGTTTACCACATTTTTTTTGGTGAAACATGCGATCAATCTTCTGATTCCTTTTTTTTCCTTTTTTTCATCTGATTTTCAACAACTGTGATTTGTAATTTTCTACAGAATCTATGAATGACTCAAGTATCATTTTCCATATCTCAGATTGTTAAGAAGACTCTTGTTAGTTTATCTCAATCATGCGCGTCTTTAATATTTGTCCCTGGGATTTTTTGCGTTGCTCTTTTAATGGATATCCTATGTTTATGGTTTCCTCACGATGAGACGATTTTCTGACAAATGTTTACATTTAGAATGCAAGAGAGTTCACAATTACAGTTTTCAACGCGATTTTGAGTTAAAGCAAATCGACGGTGTAAGTCCGCGACTACGGATCTCGGTATGTGACGTTGCAGAATTCCTGTCATGCTTTATTTTTTAAATGGAAAACTACTTGACGGGAGTTTTCAAAAACTGCCGTGATTTTTCTTCCCTTTACAAGAAAATCCTGCAGAAACTTCAAGGAATGATATCGATTGGTACTCTAAAAAAAAAATAGGAGCGGAGATTCTCGAACATCGCAAACGAGGTACGTGTTTGCGAACTGACACCGTCGAGATGTTTAAAAAACAACATCAGGTCATGATACAACAAATTTCGTGTATAATATGAATTTTGAGATAAACTAGGCCAAGATGAATTGAATTTTGAATGTTCAGATATGAATTCATCACATGAACCCACATCATTAAAAGTCAGATGAATCTAATCTCAAACACCCTTAAAGAAAGAAATGTACAGGAGCTGCTAAAATTCGGAACATTTATGTTTACACAAACTGCCTCGAATATATAAATTTTGAAAATGAAAACAGGAAACAAATTGAAAACTGTGTATTGAGATTGAATAGGACGGTGTTGCGGTCTCAACTTCGCTCACAGCAATAGGATTTCGAGGAAAATCCTAAATCGGGGCACGTGGCGATATTCTGTGAAAAACCAGGGAATATTTGGAGAGAAATGTGTTGCTAATGCACAGCTATTGAATAATCTTCGCCAATTCGAAGAATTCTCCCTAAATATTTAAAGGCCGTCCCAGATTTGCCGGCGAGTATTCTGAGAAGTGTCCTTCGAATATTTGTGGACTATTTTAAGCGTTAGCGTTTGTATTTTATTCGTTTTTAGGGGGAGGGGGGGGCACGAGATCTGCCGGAAGCATTATATCGCTTCCACATCCAGATTATCTTAAAAATTTAGATTGACCCTTAATGCAAAAACTCCCAGAATTTTTGTTAAAATTAATGAGCTGGGGTATTCTCTTTGTCGGATGAAAAGTTGAATTGTTTGAATTGGGCTTCGGAAATGCCCCGCCACAATTAGAAATGTCATTTAGCATGGTACCCATGACCGAGAATGACCAGAATTTATCTTGGAATGGAAAATTTCAGGGAGAAATCAGAGCATCCTCTCCAGAAACCGGAAATATTCTCTTCTAGCGCTTAGAGCTACTTCGTTTTCGAATTTTACGGAAATTTTAAGTACTTATTGTTATTAAGAATTATGTACTATTGCCCATTAGCCACTGTTATTAACCTCATGAATGACATATTCAAATCTTCAAATCGTCATCATATAATAATAGAAATAGTGAAGCTTTCATTGACCAGGTAATATAAACATAAGGAACGCTGTTGGATTTAAAAATTTGAATGCGTGCCAAAGAACCGGCTGAAAGATAGTAAAATTCGATATTCACATCCGAAATTTAGGAGATTTCCATGGTTCTCCCAAGAAAATCCCTGGGAAGAAAGCTTCCGTTCCTCATCAGGGAACGAGTCCCTAGACCTTCAAAAATTTGAAGCCCTAAAACTCGCTCAAAAGGCATTTAAGGTTTTGCCTCGTAGAAACGAAACTTCCAAGAGGTTGTAGAACCGGGTCTGAATTTTAGATTCCCTTCTAAAACTTACAAGATTCAAATCTGGGTGGTATCAGTATCCAGGAAACAATTTCTCGGTGCAATGTCCTCCAGATTGCGGTCGATTCGGTGACACGCTTTCCTCTTGAACACTTCCACTTGGATCTGAAAGCCCTCTCGCACAATGGAACTTTAATGCAGCTTTGTTTCGGTAAAAATAGCTGGGAGATTGAGCCTAAGGCACCTCTGGAAAAGGGGATTGAAGTTTGAAGTGCATTCAAAGTATCTCTTTAAATGTATCAGCGTTGAGCGGGCGGGAGCCTTAAAGGCACTTCTTGTATTCACCCTCGATTTCCAACCGCAGGCACGGGTTTCGAGTGACTGAGTGAATTCACAAAGCTTTTTGATTGCGTTGGTATAGCTCCTCTGTCTAACCGGCGTAACAGAATATACCCTTGCTCTTCCATTCAGCTCCATTTTCCCAGGCGCTCTTCATTGATGCAACAGTGTAGCTGTGCTATGCTAAGGAAGAATACCGTACGAGCTATTGAACGTTGCAAAATTTCATGGGATAAAATACACATTTTCTGGGAGACTTGAAGATAAGTATATCCACAAGTCCTGTAAATTCTTCCAATTCCGCAGAGAATCCCACGCGATTTAATTTGAAATCCCTGGAAATCTCTAGAAAACATTATTTTAACTTCACTGGTAAATATTTATTTTATCGGAGGATTATGAAGACGTTCGATTTTCCGTTCGGAGTTTTTCTCATCATAGCACGCTGGTGCCTTTGATCTGTATTATTTCTATTCGCTAACTAATGAAGTTTTTGAGATGGTTGCATTACACAGCGTTGGCTACCTGGCAGAAAATCCTTACTTCATCGGTAGCTCTTGAAATATTTATGAAAAGCTCAATTAATACAACAATCAGCAACTATCGTCTCATTTACATAGAGGTTTAGGAGAATACATTAAATTTTGAGTTTTAATTGCTTAGAAAGTTTTGAAATTTAGACATCACGAGTAGTCAATTTTTTACTGTTGCAGAATGAACATAAAAGTTTAAATATTCAATTTCGGCACACAAATAGACATTTAGAAGTATTTGTAAGTTCAACTCGAAATACTAAAATTGGTGAGTTTGATCGTCGCTAACTTGTTACAGCTATAAAAGCGCCAAGGCTCAATACAAATCTAGCGTCTATGTATCATCAATCGTATATGTATGAAGGTTTTGAAGGATCACATATTGCATCTATTAAAAGTAATCAATTAAATGTATGTACTCTCAAACAATAATACAAAAATGATAAACAAATATTTGGAGTTAGACATTTTAGTGCCAAATTTGGCTGGCTAAGCTATATAGACATAATTATTGATTAAAAAACATCGAGCTACAAACCAAAATAATTAATGCTTTGTTTGCTTTGTTTTGTGTAAGTTCTATTTTTCTCATCTATATATAGTTTAGAATACTGCATTATATGAGCTATTTTGGCTTGTATCTCGATTTTTTTTTAAATCAATAAATGTGTTTATTTAAAGTTAATCTGACTTAAAGCCCTAGCAGAAAGTAAGGCTTAATAATATTCAAACCTTAAAGCATACACGCTAAAGCAGTTCTAATTTTAAAGCAGGCTAGTCAGAGAGGGTAGTCCCACATCCCCTTCAATAACTTACCTATAAGTAAAACCGATCTAATTGGAGTGTATCTAATTCAGATTTAGAAGTGTCTGCTAGAAAAAGTAAAATATGTCGTTGGGAGGTTAATTACCTAACTGTGGTGATTGTTGCAAATTGGCAACACGATTATCGCTCATTGAAACAAATGAAATACATTCGATGTATATTGAAACAGGATGCCTCACCTAGAATGAAGCCTATTTAATGGCTTAAATGGAGGGAGGAATGATGTTCTCAATTTCAGAGAATCGCTATTGACTTTTTAAAGGATGCAACTATTTTAACATGTATGATGTGTTTTTGCATAATTGCCCAAATGAGGGTGATTTTCGTTGTGCACTATCTCGAGCGTAATTATTTAAGTGACGACGAGGCGAGTATTATTGCCATGTCAATTATATTTAAGCTAAAATTATTGCTGCAGAATTGATTAAAGCAAATTGGATTACATTTTGCAATAAGGAACCACTATCTCTGGCCCATTTTAGAAACATTATACATGCCATTGCTTCCCCTATGCAGATATGTGCTTTTATGGGAGAGCCAGAGATAGTGGTTCCTTATTGCAAAATGTAATCCAATTGAGCCTGGTTCTTCCGTAGATGTTGAAGAACGCGATCTTCTCTTTCTAATCTAAGTGCACGATTCTGATATTTTTACAGTCATGTTGCTTAATCCAAGTTTCTCAGCCCTGATCTATCGTTAAAATTTTAGAGCTTTGAAAGTATCGGGTCACCGACCGAGGTGTTGAAAATTAAACACGCCAAATTCTCGGTGTTTATTTTTCAGCCGTAGAGAAAATAATGACATCACATGTGTCTGGCTACGGGGTGACTGTTCGTGCGTAATTGATGAACAAGGGAGACTGAAAATTGATTAT